GTATTTAATCCGGTAAGTGGGGAGGCCCCCTGGGCAAGGAGACAGAGGCAAAGAACTGGGTTCTTATCACTTGGACTCAGAGGCTATGGGTCCAGGGACCTGCCGAACTGGAGGGCACATGCCCTTCAAAGGGCATAACATGTCTGTCAGCAGCACAGGAAGGTTAGATCTTCTATTTTGGCAAAACAACAAAAAAGCCAACCTGAACTCCAACTCTGAGATGAAAAATTCCAACCTGCTCTGGTTAATCTATGCCACTTGGAATGGAACAACTGTTTTCTCTTAGTAAGTGGTTTTTAACTTTAAGAATATTAGAATTTAGAAAAGAGAGGTGATTAAATAAGCAAAACACCCTAGAATTTCTGGGTGCCAGTGGCTCACGGCTATGGGAAGCAGAAATGAGGAGGATCACGGTTCAAGGCAAAATAGTTCCTGAGACTCATCTCAAAAATACCCAACACAAAAAAAGGGCTGGTGGAGTGGCTCAAGTGGTAGGGCACTTGCCTAAAAAGCTTGAGGCCCTGCACTCAAACCCCAGTACTGCCAAAAGAATAACAGCAATAAAGAAAGAAACCTAGTATTGATTTATACATTTGCATTAAATTTAAGGTGAGTTGAGTTCTGTGCATTGGTGTACAAAGTCCTGTATTTCTGATGCTTTGGAATATGTGACCATTAGAGTTTCTCACAGATGTGATAGGGTAATTGACTTCAATTCAAGTTTAAAGTTAAAAATTTTAAAGAATTTGACCATATCTGTAAATGTTTAAAAGAACATCATACTCACTTTGCTTATGCTACATTTTTAAATCAGAACTCATTCTCTGAAATCCTTAGGAAGGTTTGCTTTCTAACACTTGTCTACCGAGTGTGAAGCCCTGGGTTCACCCTAGGACCTCAAAAAAGAAAGAGGATTCATTAAATTCCTAAATGTAGGTTAAAATACCAAAGGTAGCACTATCCAGCCTAATTATAATGCTAGCTACATGTATAATTTTAAATTTTATAACAGCCACATTTCAAGTAGAGAGGGATAGATAAACTCAAAGGTAATAATCAAATCTATTTGACACTATCTAAAATATTAGCATTTCAGCAAGTGAGTCACAATTTATTAATGAGATATATGACATCCTTTTTGTATTTGTCTTTGGAATCTATTGTATATTTTATGCCTCACACATCTCAGTTTGAACTCCCACATTTTAAATGCATGATTCTAGCAGCTACCGCATTGGATAGCACAGATCTAAGGGAATTAATGAGCCACCTATGTAAGGAGGATTTATTATTTAAGGAAACTGATTTTGTTTAGCTTTATTGGCTCAAAAATTAATCAAAGGCCCCTTGAAAGTCATTGTTAAAAATTAGTGGGCTTATAAATGAATTACAAGGCTTGTGCTGAATTTACAAGTAAAGGGAAAAATAGATTCTTAAATTTTTTTTTAATTAAAGAAATGATTTCTTTTTTTTTTTTTTTTTTTTTTACAGTGCTGGGGATCAAACCCAGGACCTCGCACATGCTAGGCAAGTGCTCTACCACAGAGCTACACCCTCCAGCAGAAGTATTATTATTTTTAAAATTACCACAAGCTAACTTTTTAGCACACAAAAGCTGCCTTTGAGGACCTCACCAACTACAGCGCAGGCGGAATTAGAGTCTACCCTGGCCAGAAAGGGCTAGTTCTTTATGATTGCTTTGTAGTGTCAGATCTGGATGGGCCCTTTACAGACTCCTACCCAAAGCACCTCCATTTCACTGATGGAGAAATTGAAGTTCAGAGAAAGAAAGGAGCACAGGTACCTGGTGAATTAGAGGCAAGACTGAGGCAAAACCTCAGGCTTCCTGACCCCATCCACCCTTTCCAGTCAAGGGTTTCTGGTTCATTTTCTCTGCTCTTTCACCTCTGTTGGTTTCACTCCCAGGAAACTGAGGCACAGAATTAGGGTGTCTTGGAGCCGGGTCATCAGAGAGTACCAGTAGCAAATTGGAGGACCTGGATCTCTAGCCCTAAGTCACCCCACAACATAAAGGCCTGGTCAGAGACCAGCCCCGAACCCAGGCCGCCTGGGCAAAGAAATAGCTGTGTGATGCCCAGGGTACAAAGTCAAGTACCAGGACTGAGAGAATGAGCAGGAGAGGGGAGGTCTGCCAGTGCCTAGGAGGGCTGATCTCCTCCAGCTCGTGGTGCTAGAAGCAGAGCTATGCAGTCCAGCCAGGCCTGGGCTCTTGGGCAGAAGGCCCTGGAACTCCCTCTCACTCTCTTTCCTCCCTTTTCTCCATCTCCAACATCTATTTATCTCTCTCTCTCCCTCTTCTTTCTCTTTCTCCCCTTCCTTCCTTCCTTCCTTCCTTCCTTCCTTCCTTCCTTCCTTCCTTCCTTCCTTCCTTCCTTCCTTCCTTCCTTCCTTTCCTTCTCCCCCCCCCAACATGGTTTACCTAACACCAAACCCCCACAAGCAGGTCTGAGTCCATTTTGGGCCTGCAGGGCCCGAGTGAAGAGGAACACTTGGGCTTCAGGGCCAGCAGCTTAGCCTTCCTCACACCAGTACTGGAGAGGGGACATGGGGTTTCTTTGAGGCTGTGTTTCTCAGCAGGAGGACATTGACCATCAGTGATCCGTGAGAGAGTTTCGAGAAACAGCACCAGGTGCCATTCGAACACACAGTGAGAAGGCTGTTCCATGCTTGGAGTACTTCCAGCCCCTCTGAGAAGTCAAGAAGAAAATAATTTGGGTTCCTTTTTCCCCTGCATGGAGAACATCATGTTAAGCGAAATTAGCCCGGCTCAGAAGGCCAAAAATATTATGTTCTCCCTCATATGCAGATTGTAGACCTAAAACAAATGCAGTAATATTATTGGACATGAGTCACACACTAAGGGGAGAATGTGCACGGGAGGAATAGGAAAAGGGAAGAAAACCTAAAACTTGAATGTGGTTGATGTGCCCACTGTACAGGAGCAAATAAAGTAATCTTAAACTGGCAGAGGCCACTATGGGAAGGGGACCAGGAAGTAGTGAAGAGGTCTGGCAGAGATGAACCAACGTGGGTTTCAGTACACAAGTGCATGGAAGTGCACTAGGAATCTCTCTGCATAGCTATCTTTACCTAAAACTAACAAAAATGCTATGTCTTTCTTACTATCTCTGTTTTTTCTTCAACAAAATCAGAGAACAAGAGAGAGAACAGGTTCTGTCCGGAAGTGGGGTAGGGATGGGGGGAGGTAGCCAGAATAATGTATACACATGTAAGTAAATGTAAAAATGATAAAATAAAAAAGAAAGAAAATAATTTGGGACTAGGATGTCTTTATTGCCTCTCTCATCTCCCTTTTAACAGGGCAGGCATTGGCCTCAGGCTCTACTCAGGCTCAGTTGACATCCTTTCAACTGTTGGCTACAGCGTAGCACAAATTGGTCTTTGCCACCATTTTTTTACTCTTCTCTTTACCTTTTATTTATAACAAATGATACTAGTTTTCCATTTATAATAGTGACGTAAAGTTTCCTTTCAAAACTAAACGTAAGTCAGTGACAAGAACTGAATCAATTGAACATCAACATATTTTCCAAAACATGAAGGGGACCAAGGTATCTACAGGTATCAGGAATGTTGTGGGTGGGGCAGGAGTTGTCAGGGTGAGACAAAGACCTAACTGCGGGGAACTGCTCCTGGGTCCTTCCTTGGACCTTCTTGACTCCTGCCCAGTCCTGGTGTCCAGCTCCCCATGGGCACCAGTCTTGGCCAGCCCTCTCAGCCCATGGACCAGCAGCCCATTGGCTCTAACACAGAGGGCACCTATGTCTGGCTCAGTCATGGGGTCCTCATTCTTTCTGGGAGGCTGTAGTTGGAGCTGGTCTCTGTAGCTCCATGGAGGTGGCCAACAGACCTTTCTGCCACCAACTTAATTCTGAGCCTGCAGCAGGGCCTTCTGAGAAGAGCAGAGAGGCTGGCTGTGATGGAGCTGTGTGGAGAGGAGGCCTCTCTTGTCATCTTCTCTCAGCTCAGGGTGAAAGACAGTGGAGCCTCTGGACCTACTGTTTTAGAAATTGCTGTCCAAGCAAGGGAGGCAAAGCTCAGGTCCCACCCATGCAAGGCTGAAGCCACACAGGTCTTAGTTCCAAAGCAAAATAGCTTTCCCTGAACCAGTGTGAACTTAGGGAGCTCAGAACACCTTTCTACAAAAGAAGATAGAAAGAAGAGTCTTCCCTGAGCGCCCCACATGCTTACACCAAACTGAAAGTACTGCAGGGCAGACCCAACTCCCCAGGCCCAGAATTCTGTTTCCATACCAGCAACCCAACCCCAAATGTGGGAGCCCACCAGAGGCAGGACTTCTTAGGTCTCTGGGCCACTGGCCAGCTCTGTCCAGCTTGGACTCTGCATACTGCTGGGTTCAAAAAGTGTCTGCTGAGCACAGCCCTAGGTACCCCTGATCCCTGGCCCAGGTCACAAGGGTGCCTCAGCACTTGGGGGGGTCAGGATGGTATGCGTGGGCCTCAAGAGCTTTCCTGCTTGTTTGCATCTCAAACAGCTTATGCTGAAGCCACCAGTGACTGGCCGTTGGGAGGACCCCCCAGGCCTCCCCTGTCTCGAACCTGGTGAGCCCTAAACCTCAGCCTTGATGTTGAAAATATGAAAGTCATGGTCCTGCCTCTCTGGAAGGTGAGGTTCCTTTCTGTAAGTTGGCAAGAAATGAGGGAGGGGAGTTCTTGAGCCTAGGGGTGGGAGATGCATTTCTCCTCACAGCCGGGACCCCTCATGAGGCATAAAGCTCCTTGCCCATGTCATCTCGTCCCCACAAGGCTTCTTAGCATGGAAGCACTGTCTACCAGTCCTGGCCCTTGAGGGAATTCTTGTGCTCTCTCCAAGCCTATGCTGTTGTCATAAGTAGGGTACCCTGGTCCCTGAGTACAGTCTCAGCTGAAAGGCTCCAGAAAGGGGCAAGTAGGCAGGACCCAGGTCCCCTAGCACCAGGAGGTGATAAAAAGTGGTACCTGAGAGTGCTGCCATCAGCAGTCCAGTGATCCCGACGAAGAGCCACATGTCTGGTGCCATCTCTGAGGGCTACATGTACCCACCCGTGGGAAGCGCCATCCTGGGGCCACTGTGTACCGTCTTGCCTGCACACCCTCTCTGTTCCTGTTGGTGTCTTTCTTTCTGCTGATCTCCTACACGCGGTGGCCAACCCAACCTGTGAGTATCACACGCCTCTACGATCTGCTTGTGGTTTTGGTCTCCAGGAAGCCGGGCTGGTGTTTCAGGGGTTGGTGGGGGAGCCCTAGCCACCACTGTCATGAGCCCCCCCAAGCCCAACTGACCCCTGAGAGTCACACACACACACACACACACACACTTCCCCAAGGATCGTGCAAGGAAGGCAAAGGGAAGTGAGGGACCATGTTCCTGGGCACGGTCCTAGGTCCTATAACTACTCATAGCAAATACTCAGGCAACACAAGCTAGAAGAGTGAATTAGTGACTCTGCTACCACAGAATCCAGCTCTCATGGGAGTAAATCTCAAGACTTGTTTTGTCCGTGGGAGCCATGTGACCAGGAAGCAGGGGACACAGTCATGAAACACTTTTGAGTGACAACGGCCTAAGCCTTCCCCCAGAAAAATATAAACTGAAATGGAGAGAGAAGGTAGTCTCCATCTCCTTCTGCAGAGAAAGGAGTCTTGGGTCAGGTAGGACCTGCCCTAAATGGCTGGGTGTACCTCTGTGGAAGTTAGGCACCAAGCTGGGCCTACAGGGTGAGAAAATTTTTGACAGATGGGGAGGCCACTGGGCCAGAAGAATATCAAGAGCAAAGGGCTGGAGGAGGGAGGCGTGGGACTGCCTGGGAAATGCTGAGTTACCCAATCAGACTGCAGCCAATGACGCCAATAAGGAGGAGGCAGAAAGAAACCAAGTGTGTTCAATTCAACATGTGTCCCCTGGGGAGCATGCAGTAGGTGCTAAATAAATGTTTGTTGAGAGGATGAAGGAATAGATCATTTGGCTCTCCAAGCAGAATCCTGAGTCCGGAAGGGGTTGGTTCTCAATCCTAGTCCTGCTGAAGGATCCCATCTTCTGGCCCTCCACTTCCTGCATCATCTCTTGTCTTCATTTCTTCACCTGTGGATTGTAAAGGATTCCTCCTCCCCTGGGTGCCAAATGGTGGGACGTTTGGGAGTCACAGTGAGCCAGGCCCATCCCACCAGAGACCCCACCCCTAGCAGCCTTGGGAGGGTGGGGCGGAAACAGCTCTGGCACCAGCTGAGACTGCCCTCTAGTGGAGAGTCCTTGGTAGCACTGGGGGCCTATGGGCCCGTCCAGCTTGTGATTCAAGTCCACTCCAGAGCCTTGGGTGTGTGGACTTGTAGAACACACGGGTTGGAAGGGCAAGAGAGGAACCACCCCCCTGCCCTAAAGTAGTGTATGGTTCACAAACACAAGTAACCAAACACAGGCCAGGAGAAGATTAACGCAACTCAAGGTCTCCTAGTTCTGAGAAAAAGCCATTTAAAACAGGCCTGGAAGGATGGTGAATTCCATTTCTGACAATATGGTAGATAAGATATGCTCAGAAATTGTCCTGATACAAAGCACCAGGAAAAAATATTTTCCACTATTTTCAAAAGCATAGCTGAAGTGGCAAGAAATGAAAGGAAATCACCAAAGGTCAAAAATGCCAACAAACACAAGGGAAAGAAGCAAGAGCAGAGGTTGTCCTGAGGCAGTACTGACCTCAGATGGCCAAGAACTTCAGTTTAAAGGTCCTTAACAAAACCTAGAGCTGAGCAGAGTGAAACACAAAATCAGAATCCTCCACCCAAAGCAGAGCACACCAAAACAGCACACCCAGAGTTGGAAAGAATGCTCACAGGGAGGTGACACGGAGCTGGCTTCGGTCAGCGTTGACTCTGAGTGGAGGAAAAAAGGATGGTCTATCCCAATGGTCCAAAGCACCGACTGGCCCCCAAATGTGTCTGGAGGTGGAATTCACAATACCATAACAAACTAACAACAAGATTAGAACTTAAAGTAGACAAGAGTGCCCTAGGTTCTTAGGGGGGATAGTGGTAGAATTTCCTCCCTTGAATTACTTACCTTAAGCTTAGGCCTCAAGGAATTCCCACAGAAAAAGCTCCAAAACATGAGCTCTTGAAAAAAAAATTGCAAAACACAAGATAGAGCTACTTTGAGTGAGAGTGTCACAAAGTAGTTGACAGTAAACTCAGACCTTCAAGAACTTTAGATACTGGAATTATGTTGTATACCACATAAAGTAAGAATGCTTTGTATACTTAGAGAAATACAAGTTGATAAGTGAAGGTTTAGATAGTGATTAAGAGTGTTGAAAATGACCAGGGAGATTTGAAAAAAAATGAGGCAGCATGTGCATAAATGAAAAAAAAATATTTGAAACTAAAATCCCAATAGACAGATTAAGCAGTAGATTGACTTAGCTGAAGAGAGAATTAGGGATCTGGAAAATAGCAAACCTGCTGTTTGCTTAGAGAGAAGATGGAAGAACTATGAAGTAGACTGTCAGCTAACTTCTGGCTGAAGCCAGAAGACAGACAAATAGCATCTAGAAGTGCTAGGAGAAAATAACCATCAGCCTCAAATATCTTTCAAGAATGAAACCAGGTGTAGGGATGCATGCCTGTAACCCTAGAGTGAGGCAGGAGGATCTCAAGTTTGATACTTGCCTGGGCAGGCTCTGTTTCAAAAAAAAAACAAAACAAAAATGAAGTTGAAAAGATACTGCTATGATTTGAATGTGTCCCCAAAGTTGATTAAATATTGGAAACTTAATCTCTGCATCCATATGTTGATGGCGTTTGGAGGTTGGAAATTGATTAGGGTTATGTAAGGTGCTGGGGGTGGGCCACACAGAAAGGGGTTAGTGGCTTTATAAGGAGAGGAAGAGAGAGCCGAGCTCGCCATGCTCTTGTGCTCCCTGGCTTTTACCATAGGACACCCTCCACCATGTTGTGACACATCAAGAAGGTGCTCACCAGGTCCCAGCATCTTGATATTAACTTCCCAGCCTCCACAGTCATGAGAAATAGATTAGTTTTTACCCAGCCCATGATATTTTGTTACAGCCACACAAAATGGACTGAGACAGATACCCTTTCTGATAAAAACAGAGAACACCTACAACTAACAGACTTTACCCAAGGGAATTCTAGAAAGTATTCTTTAAGAACATGGAAAATAATCCAGAAAGAAAGTTCAAGATTCAAATAAGGATAGTGGCAAAGAAATGTGTAATCACCGAGATAGGTTAAATAAACACTGATTGTATAAAACAATTATAATAATACCTAATTTAAGTTAGGAAAAAACCCACACAAAACTAAAGAACCAGAAAACCAACAGACAAATTAGTATGAGATGGTCAGGGTGGAGAAGCTGCATTACTTGGTGGGAAGGAAAAATGTGGACTAGTTCTTGACTCTGTTAAATTAAATTAAATTAAATTAAATGGAGGGAGGAAGCCTGCTATAAATTCAAAGGAAAACTGGCTAGAAAGAGTGGGACAAACAGTCCAGGACTGAACAGGAAGTCAGAAGATGTACACAACTGGATGTTCAATTAATGAACTTGTATTTATTTATAACTCTTGGAACCAGGACCTTTTGATCTCATTTTGCAAAGGACACCTGGTGACTCTCCATCTTTAAAGAGCCAGGCATTTTTTCATCCTGACTCTATCTCTCTCTTGACCTTGGCCTAGCAAAACTGAAATAAGTGGCATTATTGAGAGAAGCTTGCATCTCTAACTAGAAGGAAGAGAAGACCTCCAACTCTATCCGTCTTCCGTATGGCCCAGCGGAAGGCTTAATGCCACCAATGATCAGAATTCTCCCCCTCACTTTTCAACATGTATCCTTGCATAAGGACACTGAAGTTAGAGGGGTGGTTTGCTCAAGATCCCAGCCAGGCACCAGTGTCTCGTGCCTGTAATCCTAGCTACTTTCAGGAGGATTGCAATTTGTCAAATAGTTAATGAGACTTCCATCTCCAAAATAACCAGAGCAAAATGGACTGGAATTGTGGCTCAGACAGTAGGGTGCCTGTTTGGAAGGCGTGAAGCTCTGAGTTCAAACCCCAGTCCAACCCCCCCCACAAAAAATATCCCACAGTTAAAAAAGAGTAAGAACCTTCCAGGGCTGGGCTCTGAACTCAGGTCTATGTGACCAGTATCCTGAACTCTCACCCATGAGCAATTCAGCTTTCTTGCAGGGAGGAGATGGGGTGTCTAAGCACAAAGGTTTTGGCTGAAACACAGCACCTCTACAAGTGAAGACTCTGGTTCTACCAGACTCAAACACTGTGGCGGTCAAGTCTACTCTAGGATGTAAAACTCCTCAGTCCTCTCCACGGTCCCCAAACATCCAAGCCTTGCCTGCTCTGAGGCCCAGAGTTTTCTACCAGGGTCTAAATATTCACCTAAATATACATTCTCTACCTCTAATCATCTAGTCACTCATCTGACACATCTCTATCGTGTATTTTAGGTGCTGGGGACACCATGCTGACCAAAACACAAATATTCCTGCTTTTATAGCACTTACATTTTACTGGAAGAGGTTTGTAACAAATGACTGACTTAGTAAGTTATGTGAGAAAAGAAGTAAAACTGAGGGTCAGGAGGCTGGAGGGGGGTCCATTTGAAATAGGGTAGTATCTTAGCCCGGCCTCTTCCTCAAATACAGCCTGGGACAAGGGCTTGCTTGTAGATAGGTTATTTGGGAATTCGATCCCGGGGACCGACATGAGAAATAGGAAACAAATGGGGAAGAGAAGGCAAGTCAAAAAAAGGGGGCATCTCATTGGGTTGCCCCACTTTGCAACTAGGGTTCAATCAAAGACTTACAAAATGGTTTTCAGAACTGTCTGCCCCCTGTAGCTCCCCTCCTGTCACCCATTGCAGGATGGTGTGGCTGGGAGACAAACTGGCTACTATCTACACCAAAAGGCATCCAGTCCACTTGACTGCCGTAGGTCTCTCTTGTGGCTGACCTTGTCTGTTGGGCATGAACATAAATAAACACAGAGCCCACGCCCTCTCCCCATCCACAGTATGCAGTGGGTAAAAGGAGGAGTATTTTAATAACAGTTTTGAAGATAATTGTGGTAGATA